ATTGTTGTGTTGCTTTTAAAAAAATCAATAAAAAGCCATCCACCCACCCATGCATTCACACACACATTGTTCCATGAAAATATCCTGAGCAATCTTATTCTTAACCATTTGGCTATGTCCAGTACTTTCCATACCTTTGACCTTTTGTATATCAAATATAGGTGATAGCATTGGTATAGATCAAGTTATTCTTGCTATTGAAACTAAATAAACACTTCTCTAAAAGCAAACAGCTCACGCACACGGTTAACTCCATAGATTCCCAAGAGAACCAAGTGTCTAGGCAGAGAATGATTCCAGAGGAATTTAATCTCCTTTACAGTACCAATCTCTCTGAAGTAAGGCAGCATCAAAATGTTATCCCCTACCATGTAAGAATTACCATCCACTTTGTCCACACAATATTACACTTTAATCATGAATCATTTAAGATTAGCAAGTTTGAGTGAGATGCTTTCAGTTTGCTCTCCAGAGAATAAAACTAGGATATCAAAGTAAAGGAATCTCAGTCTTATTTAATAACTAGGAACAAGCTGCTTTCAGCAAAGCCTCCACAGCTTTCCTCTGTGTACTAACTGAAAACAGTGTCCACAGTAAGTAATATAAAGTACTTGTATCTAAATCACATTTATGCAGTTTGCAATTCTATTAAACCTGTAGTAGCATGGATATGTAAGTGTACAGGTATACTCAGTAAGCAATGCACAAGTATTGCAGATAGACACATACTGTGGCAGAAGTCTGAAGGAATGCACTCTGCTGTTTCATTCCCAATAAATGAGTGGTTAGGGCATGTACAAAAAGCAGTAGATTCACACTGCAGGCCTCCCTTATACAGAGGGTTTGAATGTGTGTGTGTGTCTAACCACCAAGCCATGTTATATAGAACTTTTCCCAGCATTTCTTTTAAAACTGAGCTACTGAAGCTTGCATTCATTAAATATTCACTGCATGGAGAGTAGTGGGGAATTTTCTGCCCCATTCTGAGCAAGGGGCCAGACTACAATCCAAGACCTTTTCCTTTCCAGTGCACCACTTGTCTCATTATGTTGCACACTTTCTACCTTGTTCTAATGCTGCTTGCCACAAATATCTCCTTAGCAACTAAGAAAATAGCATAACTATGGTGCATACTTAAATCTACACAGATCACTGCATTTTTACATTTTATCTTTTCTTCCCACTTACACTTTTTGAAAAGTAGAGGCATAACTGGCCAGTGCTGCACCCTGGGCAACACTGCCCTTCTCCCTGCCCCAATAACTGCACCTTCCCAGCTCTGGCTCTGGCTCTGGCTCTATCTCTGGTTCCATCAGTGGAGAAGACGAAGAAGTGACAGCAGTGCACAGTAGAGGAGCAGTGGGTGGAGGTTTGCTGGTGCGGTGAGGATGTCACCTCTCTTTTTTGCCTATGACATGAATGTAAAGTGGACAAAAAACCAATGGGTATTCAGTTACAAAAAAGGAGGCAACATATTTCTCAGCAGCAATGTGCCTCTTCTTCACTGCCACTTCTCCACTCTCCCCACTACTAAAGCTGGAGCCAGAGCTGCAGGGAGGGTGCAGGGGATCAGGGGAAGGAGGTGAACAGGAGGATGTGGCACTCTTTTTGCTCTATTCAGCTAGCTCCCCATAGACAGTTCCAGGGGCTTGTGTCCTGCTTGCCCACCCGTTATTACATTATTGACAAGAGGTGAGAATGAGAATGGAATGCACATGTAACTGGCCCCTCTCTGCTATCTGCTGCGTGACCGCTGACAACCAATTGAGGTGTGCCAGAGGCCAACTCCTTGGCCTGGGGTGGCTTCAGCCCTACCTGTATAACTCAGGCCTTACCAGCCCTTAGCAAAAGGGATTTAGTGAGCTAGAAGGGTACACCCTTGTCCATTCTTTTACTCAGAAAAGATGGATCCCTCTTTCTATGGAATGGTTAAATCTGAATGTTCAGAATACTCTGGAATCATAAGTACCACTGACATCAAGTAGTTTATGAAAAGATAAATGTATTATCTTTATAAAAGGAAAGTATTTATTATAAAGAAACAGGGCTCATAAGTAGCTGTATGTTGAGATACAGACAGACATAAAAGTAAATAAACAAAAGAAAATGTCAGAACAATAGCCTGTTATGATTCTGCACCTTAAATCTAAGTTTGCAGTCCCTAGTGAGCTTCACCTAGTTAAAATGAAGACCCTACTTTAGCTAAGTGATTCTTAACCAGGTTGTTGGCTCTGAGATCCTTTGAAGGGTGCCACAGGAAGTGTGTAGAGATGAGCAAGGTGTAAGGATATAAGCATATATGAGGCTCAGACTTCAGGTGTGAACAGATAGGGACAAGCTCAGACTCAACCTGCCTTGCTGCTCCAAAGGTGCATGTTTACCAGACCACAACTTGCATCCTTTTCAGACATGTATATACTTTAATGCATTATGTTATCTCACTCCCGTGAGTGGCCAGGTGACATTCTTACAGCACTTCTTTTAAAATGTAAATTTATCACTGTCTGGCCTGATCCTGGATTCCCATTCCTCAGAGCACAACCACATGGAGGACAAGTAAACAACTCAAATTAAATGGTAATTCTCAGCCATTATCTCTTCTAAATGTAACTAGGTGATAGGTATTTGTCCCTCACACAATGACCTTGGCTATACTATAAAGATACGCCAAAATTACATTTATATCAAATACTATAAATCATACAGCCATGAAAAGGACAAAACTGAACTCAGCTTTCAATCAACTACAAATTGACTAAACACCACAAGATTAAATCTAATTTAGGAGAATTATCTATTCATGCTACATGGTGAATCCCAAAGGGCAACTTGGTTTTGGGATGAATCCACATCAATGCATGTTAACATCTGAATCCTGCCTTAGACAGTCATTATTTAATTTGCATTAATACTTATTGGATAAAAATTGTAAACAGAGTTGGGTCTGGGGAACAGAACTAAAGGCTTTCTGTGTCACTGGGCTATCATCTGGCTTACTTACATTGGGTTGCTTGAATTCTGACCAAAAGGTGTAGTGATCTAGCACATATAATTTTTTTTTTCTAATTCTTTTTGAGGCACATATGCCTAAGTTTTGGGCAAGAAAATGCACAGTGTTTCTGTGACTCTATGGTTTTATGAATCCAAGATATTGGTCACTCAGGATAGGTACAGGCGTAAAGGGAGGTTAGGGGGAGTTTAGATTGAATTAAAAATGGCCACGTGGCCTAAGGCAACTCAGGATGGGGGAGCTATCGGGGGCTT